CCTACCTACCTACCTACCTACCTACCTACCTACCTACCTACCTACCTACCTACCTACCTACCTACCTACCTACCTACCTACCTACCTGCATCCTACCTACCTATATACCTACCTATACCTACCTACCTGCATACCTACCTTCATATCTACATAGACTACATTTTTACCTGCCTCTTATTTTCAAGGTGGGTGTTTTCAGCTGTTGTGATGCGACAGATACGTGGAGTTGGACTGCCCAAGGATCATTGCAGTACAAAAAGAAAATGTGTCTTAAGCCTGAAACTGGAAGGGCGTACCCAAGGAATAGTGTAAACCTCGTGCTTAACTCAGTATGTGACGAGCGACAAAACTTCTTCGAGTTTATGCCCAGTAAGTATCTCTCAGTGTTTATATAACTGGACTATCTCACGTGAATTGTCAAAGGGAAAAGTGAAAGGTGATGGCAATCTGTATGCCACTTACATGCCAAAGGAAAGCGGTTGTGAGTCGCATACTTTTAACTAACTTTATATATATTTGGAAAGTGTATTAATTTTAAACTGTTCTTCGTCGTGTTTCAGTAACGGTTATTCCTTATTGATCCAGTGTTACTACAGGAGGAAACCTAAACTAAACTAACATTATTTATGCTGGGTAGCTCATTCACTAACTTTATTTATACTGGGTAGCTTTTATTCGTCCAGTTCTATAAACTGTTTTTTGTAGAAATCAGGCACGAATTTTCTGGGGGGGTTGGATGTGTCCCCCCCCCCCGAAATAATTTGCACCCACCCCAGAGGCATTTGGCACCGCCACCAAAAGTTTTTGCACCCCCGCAAATTATATATATTTTGATTTGATAGTTTCATATTTGATTATTCTTACAAATAAATTTGTAAAAGTACCAATATTATGGTCTCAAATCTCGCCATGCAGGCCTATAAAACAAATTTTGTCAAACTTTTTCCTTGGCCTTTCCGGGCGTTGCCACAACGCCCCCAGATATTTATCCACCCCCCCCCCCCGAACGAAAATATGAAAATCCGTCTCTGGTAGAAATACAGTATTAGGACCATTCCTTATTTGTTCAGTGTTACTACCGAGTACCCGAGAAAACATGCGCTGTTTGATAGAGTCACACCATGGATAGTATTTTCATGATCCATGGTCAAACAGAAGCACTTTTCTCACATTGGAACAAAGGAAAATTAAAATCCAACAACTGTATATTGCAGAAAGAATGTCACATGCACCAAACACTACACACTTAGCTTCACTTTCCTGCAGGCTCCCTTAAATATATACTCTCTCCAGCTTCTGAGGCTTAACCAACATCACGTTTATCATTTCAGCATCTGGTTGGTATTTGTACATCAACAGCTGGATTCGAAGGCAACCGAACAGCAAAGTTCGATTGATCTCGCCATCGACAACAAAAGCCAAATCCTGTCTCTTATTTTTTTACTACATGCACGGCTATCAAGTGGGTCAACTTAAGGTATTTATTTTTATTTGTGTATTTATTTATTTCTATTTATTAACTTTCCCAAACAGTCCACGTGCCAGTGCCACGAACCAGTCAAGCTTAAATAGTAGCAAAACTTACTCGTCGAATAAAAAAGATCAACATGCTAATTACAAGACAGACACTACTGCAGTTGTTGATCAACTAAAGTCCCCTATCTTTATTTTTTCTCTGTGTTGGTGTAATGTACTCTGGTGTAATGTGTTGGTGTAATGTACTCATATTCACCTGAGTACATTACACCAGCACAGAGAAAAAATCATGATTATTAGATTACATTGATATCGAAGGAACTAGATTCTGTTCCGAAATATCACATACTCGAACCGAACAGACCGCGTAGCTCAGTTGGCACAGCATTGGCCTAGTATTCCAAAGGTTGTAGGTTCGATTCCCACCGTGGTCAGGCATATTTTTCAAGCTTGCCTGGTGTGGATATACACTCAGAGTTACATCACAAGCATCATATTCCCCTGAGTACATTACACCAACACAGAGAAAAAATCATGTCCTATAACTTTTGGAATGGATATTTAACAAAATGTTTCGAAACCCAAACTTTATGGAACTTTGAAGACCGATGATTACTACCGCGTATGCTTGGCGACCTAGCCTCCTTTACCGTTTGGATTGTCAGGGGAGGGGATTCAAATAACAAACACATATTTCCGGCAACAACCAGCCAATCAACGTGGCGATAGCGATAGCCTGCGTGGCAGGCGGTATTTCTACAGCAGCGAAAATTAGGGAGGCAAAGGAAATACCGTCTCCCGCCAGCCTCATCCCCAGGCGCTTTGATTTGCGGCGCCGTTTCGTGAAGAATGGAAATTTGGACGGGGCCGTCCACTGCTTGCGTCAGAACCCGCGCGTCGGAGTTGGAGCCTGGGGACGAGGCTGGGCAGGCGGTGTTTCCTACGGCCTCCCTAAAAACCGCCTGCCACGCTTGCTACGATAACGACTGTTTACAACATTTGAAATCTGATATTGTAATTTGCAAAACTCTTTCGAAGAATCAATCGTATAGTATACAAGGCGTATGTGTATAGATATAATTGTAGATATGATTGCAGCGGATTTACGGACTGTGTACAGATTTGTTAGAAGGTTTCTTCAGATGACTACAAAAAAGAGTTAAGAGTTTTTTATTCTTTTCGATTTCTACCCGCACCCCGCATTTCTTTCCCCACATTCATACACTGATAAAGATATATGTATAATTTCAGGTTTACATGAAATCTAGGTGTAAAATGGTTTCTGTGTGGCGTCTTGCTGGAGAGCAAGGTTACAATTGGAATCAAGCGCAAGTGGCTGTGAACAGTCAAACGGCGTCATATCAGGTGAGCATGTAGACCAGTGAACGCCAAATATAACTGAATCCAAAGATATAGCAGATATAGGTGCATGGGCAGTGTCTTAGCTAGGATTTTAGATTTTGAGAGTGTTTTCAAATTTCCAGGGGGTGTGCTTGCCAATTAACCAGAATAGGCAAATCCACGGTTCCGTTTATGCTCGCCAACAATATATAGACTATGCCTGTGGTTGTTCCATGCTTTTCAAAATATCAAGGCGCAGATACGCTTATGCTCACCAACTTGCTTCTTCCTCAGGCGCTAATAAAAAAATTTCATGCGAGTCACTATATGAAAAGTTTACATGAAGTACTGCATCGCACGAACAAGCGCAGGGAGCGCAGATGAGGTACCGTACAGATATGAATCTCTCGTCAAATTGCTGATTGTTTTGTGTCATACGGAATTCGCACTTCGCACTTCCGGCGAGCGCTGGCAAGGGTCGTTCTGAAATTTAATAAGGAAAGTAATAGGAAAACGCCATTTGAAAGACGAAAATTGGGTTTTTTTAAAAAATCTGCGCTACCGACGTCTGTTTTTGGAATGAATTCTTCAAGAGCAACGGTAAGCGATCACTTTTAAAGAGGCTCGCTACAGTTATTCTTGTTTACGCAGCAATTCCGTAAAACAGGTTTATTCGTGCACAACGCGAATTCTTTTCGACTTGGTGACAATATTGGTCACCTAAGGAATATTTCGAACTAGATTTCGACAACGTCAGTGTTCCCCTGGCAACATGACGACAATTTAACCATATTAACCCATAAATTTAACCAATTTAAGTTAAATTAATAAATTTAAACAATTTAACCAATTTAACCTATAAATGTGCCGCTATCTCAAAAACGATGTCGGTGACCTCTATCTTTTTTATTTCATATATCAATAGGGAATGATGCTCTGCAACTGTGGTGAAAGTTTAAAAAAATTCTGTAGTGTGTAATTTTTTTAAAAGCGAAACTTTTTTGCGAAATTTCCACACTAAAGATTTTTTAAAATTGAAATTTATAAAATTTACCGCAAAGTAAATTCGTGGTCAAAATTTGAAGATAGGTCACCGATGAAACTAATGAGTAAAATGCAAATAAAGTTAGAAAATAGCCTCGTGTAACTCGAGCAATTCCCCTTATTGAAAAGCGTCGCTGACTAGAAAACTGTACGCGGGCGCAGAACGAGCTTTCGTTCAGCAAAATCGAGCGGCAATGTTGCGTTTAATTTACTGTTTTGTTTTTGTGAACTTTTCGATCTAATCGCCTAATCCCTTAATTATCTACATGTCATCTAATGACTTAGCAACGCGTAACAACGCAACATTTGCAAAGTCTAAAACATGTTTATTGATACAAATAACAGTTAAAAGATATCAAGTTCGCCTGTTAAACCGTAAGCAGATTTGAGAAATGTATATTCATGGTCGCGAAAAAGTGTTGAGCTCAGCGAAAATAATGACTGTTCGCCTGAAGATGTCCACGACCGCCCGTAATAATATCCATTTATATCCATTAGGATCCTATTGGTTGTGAAATTCTTATTGCTTTAATCCCCTTAATTACCTCAACCTTTGTGTTTTACACGTGGGAATTACCTGACAACGCTACCATCAGAATATTTATGTTTCTAACGCATTTGTGTCTAGCAATAAAAACTGTATATTTAAACTGACGTTATTTTAAAAATTTTATTTCGTTTAAAGTAACATAAGCAGTGTGCTATATCTTTGAGAAACTTTTGTCACAAACTAATTCTGAATAAATTAAATACATTTTGTGATTGATGTCGCGTTACCTTATTGTGTTTGGTCGCGTTACCTGTCACATTTGACCCAGGCTTGCCCAGCAAAGTGACGCCATTGGTTTTGCATACCAATTACTTCCGACACCAAAGTGCTAGCTGAACAAAGTGACGTCATTGGCGGCATCCCTTTGAACTCCAGATGGGGGGAGGGGGGTATCACTACTCATGTGATTACAGTCACATGATATTTGATATCATTTAAGGAGGCTACCTACAGTTTCCAATATATGTCAGTGTTTTAAACTAAAAGCTATTTGAATCTAAAAAACCTATTTTTTTGCACAAGCCATTGTTTCCTTTTATATAAAAGAGTAATTTTAACCCACAATCGCTACCCTTCACGTTACCATGACAACATAACGTGACCATCTATATGGCCTATATCAACCAAAAAAGCCGTTTTAGGGGAGAAAAAAGCACGGTGACCTACCTTTTTCATTGCAGAAAATACATTGTTATGAAGTTTTATTCTATTTTGAAAGTTATTTGAAAATCGCCAGTGCAGTTTTCGAGAAACTGAATTTCAGCCTTTTAAATTGCATTTTAGCCTTTGGAAAGCTGAAATTCAGTTTCTCGAATACTACACTGGCGATTTTCAAAACTTCATAACAATGTTTTTTCTGCAATAAAAAAGGTAGGTCACCGTGCTTTTTTGTCCGCTAAGGCGACTTTTTTGGTTGATATAGGCCATATAGATGTTGACGTCATGTCGTCATGGTAACATGAAGAGTAGCGATTGTGGGTTAATATTACTTTTTTATATAAGAGGAAACAATGGCTTGTGAAAAAAATTATTTTTTTTGGATTCAAATAGCTTTTAGTTTAAAACTCTGATATATATTGGAAACTGTAGGGAGCCTCCTTAACGCTTTAACAGATTCCGAGATGTCAACACTTGAAGAGTTCAACGAGGCTGTAGAAGCCGGTTTATATAATAAATTTACAAGGTATGGAAAAATGACAATGCATTTTTACCACAATGAGCAATTTATTTTAAAAATATATATACAGCTACAAGAAGTTTTTTAAACAAGGGGGCTGAGCGATGAAACTTTATTTTGTATTGCGTTTGCAAGATTCGTCTCAGACTCAGGATTTCAGTCACGAGCTTATTTTCATGAAGTATATTTGATTTTCACGATGCAAACGATCGACAATATTTTGAATATTTCATATAAGGATAGCTATATTTCTTTTTGGTGATATACATGAAGGCATTTATATTTAGATCTGCTGTTTACTTGTTTTTATGAAATCATGTTCGACAGCTATTATACAAGATCGGCCAGGGGTCTCTGTAAAGAACGGAAACTGGAACGACTGAATCCGGAAACGACCGAAACCGGAAATTCCCGCCTAATTTCCCGCATAAAATTGCATAAAATTGAAAGCGCGCTCAATTGACTGAGCTGCCTCAAAAACTTTGTGACCTTGTTGAATTTTCAAAATGGACGAAGATGTGAGCGATGTTGAGGTAAATTTCATTCCTTTACTGGTTTGTACATTAAATCTAAGTACGTTAGTCAATAATTCTATTCAATTATATTAATAGATTGTTGTGACCACTACCAAACATTTTATTTTCTAAATTTTAGCTCCTTTTAAATTTAGGCTTTCATAAAATTGTCCATGAAAGTGTCAGTTTTTGTCAGTAACTTTATATAAAATTATAATTAAATTTTTAATTTTAATACATGTAAAAGTAAAAGTGAAATATGTACCTCGATGGGGTCTACCGACTCCACCTTGATTACAAAAGGCAAAGACTTGGTAGTGGTCTCAACAATCTATTAATATAATTGAATAGAATTATTGACTAACGTACTTAGATTTAATGTACAAACCAGTTAAGGAATGAAATCAGTTACCTCAACATTGCTCCCATCTTCGTCCATTTTGCAAATTCAACAAGGTCAAAAAGAAATTGAGCCAGCTCAGTGAATTGAGCGCGCTTTCAATTTTAGGCAATTGTATGCGGGAAATTAGGAAGGAATTTCCGGTTTCGGTGTTTTCCGGATTTGGTTGTTTCTCTTTCCGTTCTTTACAGAGACCCATCGGCCAGGCCACAGAGTATAATTGTGCTGATAATACTTGACCGTCACTCAGACTATTGATTTTTAATAAATGGTAGTGTTTTAGAAAGCAAAATCCATGCCATTTTCAAAGGTTTTTCCAATTATAAGGTCCTTGAATTTACTGAAAAATGTCTTTGAAAATCCTGGAAAAGTCCTTGAATTTCATCGTCACTAAAGAGTGGGACCCTGAACAGGATTGATTGGCAATCTAGAAAAGCAAAATAAACAGATTAATAGATTATCAACAAACATGCAGTAACTTAGCCTGAGAAATTGACCTATAAGAACCAAAAAATATAGTCATTGCAAATGCCCCCATCATGGGGTCACAATAATGCTTCCCCCCCTTGGGGAATCACCATTGACCAAGCGTTATCCAAGGGGAATCACTATAATTGGACCAATCCCCCACCATTGGGTCAAAATATAAGTTAAATAAAGTCTGTATGAGTGCTCTGCTCCATGTCCATGACTCCATCAGTCCATGTTGAAGGTTGATGTTCGTATCTGAATGCTGTTTATGCAGTGTTTAAATTAACGACAAATTCGCAAAAAAAAGTGTTTAAATTAACGACAGCCCTTTGATACAACATTGCACTTCACAACAATATATTGTTAATTTGATATATTATGAGCTAGAGCAAAAAACTCACATACAAAGTTGCCAAGTTCCAGCTGGAGTTCAGGTCTACAGAATCGATTGCCAGAATTTCTCACTCCTTCGGGTGTCGTTTCTCATTTTCGCCGTTAGAAATGGTATTCGTTCAATTCTCTTTTGCTAAGAAGACGCAGTGTGCCATTTATTTGCAAAATTCGTGCAAACATTGAAGATCGATCGGTTACTGGGCTTAAAATCGCCGTTTTACTGCCAAAGTTTTGCATTTCCCTATCTTTTTCCTGATAAAAAATGTACATGACACTTGCCAGAGGGTCGCGCATGCGCATTAAAAAAGTGGGGACATGATTTGCAGCGAGGTCCGCCTCTGTATATGTTTACTCTGTGATCAGGCGCTAACCATGCATATTCCATTCCCCTTTGCGCGCCAATAAATGTGACGCACTACTTCATGTAAACCTTTTATTTAGTGACTGGTATGTGAAATCGTTTCATAGCGCCTGGGGACGAGGCAGCTCACCAACAATATATAGATTATGCCTGTGGTTGTTCCATTCTTTTCAAATCATGGCGCAGATACGCTTATATTTCGAACTGACATTACAGTCAGCTATTTTAGCAAATCTTGGGCGCATTATCACTTTACCAATTTCAACAAACTAGATTTTACAAACTTTCTTGCGACATAAATAGGAGGAAATTGTGTCTGTTGTAAGTATCAACACTCTATTTTAAGGAGTGTTGCTACTACTCTGGCTTACCATGGCTACACGGCTTTACATAAATAATGAGGCCGTGTTCGTTTTGTCTTGCCGTGTTTTTCCATTTGTTACCGTGATAACACGGCCAACATGGCCTTCTAGCTAAAATCCTGTCGGTGGGTATAGAATTAGAAATACCTGCTTGCATGTTCAAGTGGTAAATATTTCTAAAGTTGATGGGTTAAATGGAATGAACACAATGACGAGCAGTGCAAAAAGATATCCAAATCTATTTGTTTGTTAAAAAGTTCAAGACGATATATAAACCAAGATTCACTGATAAATATCTATAACTCGCTAGTCTTACCCCACTTTACTTATTGTTCAAAGGTTCTACGGTTATGATATTAGGTCAAAGGAGATCTTTGGTCATTTAGAATGGGAACCGATTGAAAACATCGTAAAGAAAAGAGAAATAAGCATGACGTTTAAATCATTAACAAGACAACTACCAGAATATATATCAGACATGTTTACTATTACTAATAACGCCACATATTGTCTTAGAAGCAACGATAGATACTATAGAGTAATCCAATACAGATTTCATGAAAAAGTCCTTCTCATACAGGGCAGCGTTTGCATGGAACAACTTGCCTTGTGATGTAGTTTCCGATTACGAATCTCTTTCTACTACAAGATTTAAAAATTTAATTAATAACTATTTCAAGAATTTGGAATATTGCAATTGACAATATCTTCAAGACAATATAAGTCTTTTCATGAGACTTATTTGACTTTTGGAGTGTGGGCCTGTGCATATATCGACTTATAAAACTTGCATGATTGTTTTGTTTGTGTATATATTTTTTATTAATTTTTTAGAATTAATATTTTTGTAAATAGAAACGGCCCCTTGTAAATCAGACTTACTGAAGGGTTACCGTTTTAAAATATTTGTAAATGAATAAATAAATAAAGATAAATAAAATCTACCAGTTAACGGAAACGACCGCACTTTTCTACTTTTTGTCAGTTTGTAATCGAAAGTGTGCGTGGTAAAGGTAAATATGGAAACATTGCAATTGATGATATCTCTCTTATGGATTCATGTCCTCCAAGAGGTGAATCACTTGTGTACTAATAGCTATGTAGGCCGAAGTACCATCAATTTCTGACAAAATAGAGTATAGTAAAGCTGAGTTTCTTCCTAGCTCACCCTTTGGTGCCACGTATAGGTTATATAACAAATTTTTACGATTTTAGAAAATCCACCTAGTAAACAGACTTCGGTAAATAATAATGGAAGTAAAACACCTGCAATTTCACTATTTCAAACTGGCTATGAAGGCAAGTGAGGTTTTTGTCCAATTATATAGCGATGTATAGTATACAGTTTTTATGTTGTTGTTTAGTATAGTGTACGGCGAAGTTATGTATAGTGTTTGTGGTGTGGCTTGTTTTTTAGTACTAACGACAACTCTACATACATGAGTTCAAATACATTAATTAAGTGAGATCAGGGTCGCCCATGCATCAAGCAACAATACCCGTTCCTCAACCTTCACCACCAGGCTTAAATAAGTTACTTTTTTATACTTTTTATTCATATAATTAATTTGGATTCAATAAATATTAAATCTTTTATTTTTATTCAGATGATTCCAGCAGAATCATTGTCATAGCGACAACACTGGCTGGTGGAGTATTTCTTAGCATCGTACTTAATATCATCTTATTGATAAAATACAAATGACGGAAGCGGGCTTCAAAATTATCAACTCCTGTCAATATTCCATTGGAGGCAAATGAAATTTCACCAGAACCATTGCCAGTTTACGAGGTAAATTATTTATGGTCATGGTGTTGGTGACGCAGTGAATAGTTATTACATATGGGATTCTAGGAAGAACAGTTTCGAACTGATACCGCTATCCAGTTAATATAAAACAAGTTAGTTTATGTTGGTGTTGTGCACTCAGGTGAATATGAAGTTTGTGATGTTACTCTGAGTGCATATCCACACTGGGCGAGCTTGAAAACTATGCCCGGCCACGGTGGAAATCGAACCTACGACCTTTGGAATACTTGCCCAATGCTCTACCAACTGAACTACGCGGTCAGGACGGTTCGAGTAAGTGATATTTCGGAACAGAATCTAGTTCCGGAAGGCAGAGCATTGGGCTAGTATTCCAAAGGTCGTAGGCTCGATTCCCACCGTGGCCGGGCATATTTTTCAAGCTCGCCCGGTGTGGATATACACTCAGAGTAACATCACAAACTTCATATTCACCTGAGTACACAACACCAACATAGAAAAAATCATCTTACTAGATTACATTGGTATCGAAGGAATTAGATTCTGTTCCGAAATATCACTTACTCGAACCGTTCTGACCGCGTAGCTCAGTTGGCAGAGCATTGCGCTAGTATTCCAAAGGTCGTAGGTTCGATTCCCACCGTGGCCAGGCATATTTTTCAAGCTTGCTCGGTGTGGATATACACTCAGAGTAACATCACAAGCATCGTAGAAATTAGTTGTGAAGCACGTGTATCGTGTGCCTCTGACTCGTATGAATTGGGCAACCACGCCCTGTGTGTAATCGTCATTAAATAAATCATAATCATTCTTATAAAAAACAGGAGCCTGTTTACGAAACTGTCCCGAACGTTGATTGGATGTTTTACGAAGACGTCGCCACAAATCCAAACGAGTCTGAAGACATATCACCTAAAGGTCAGTAATATCACAGATTAGATATTAATATGTAATCTGTGGTAATATGTTTAAAATTCTACTAACGTTGGTATGTGTAATATTTGCTCATTCTAAGAAGAAATGTAATATATCTTGGTTGAAAAGAAACCAATCTTGGTAATTCTGTTCACTAGCTGTAGAACGAGGATGAAAGTTGAGAAGTGGTTATGAAGGTTGAAACTCTCGCTCGTGTTTGAGCTGGTTCAAATTTTGATGCGAGTTTTCGCTACGTGCGCTAATATTCAGTCAACTGTCATCAACTGTCAGAACCTCTTGTTCTTGTTTGACCAGGGCTTTGTAATCGTCTTTTCTTTAAAGGCAGGGAATCACTTCACGATTGGGTTGGAGAACCATCAAATGCAGACAAGACATCTGGATACGAAACACCAGTCGAAAACGAACATCAGGGGCCAGGTAACGAAACTGTCGGAAAAGTTAATCGAGGGTTTTACGATGACGTCGCCACAAGTGCAAACACGTCTGAAGACATATCAACTCAAGGTCAGTAATATCACAAATTATATATTCATACCTATTTACAACATGAGCGGCCGTGTTGTAGCTAGCCTATTGGCTATTGGATATATAAACTCAAGCCGAAGGTGCGAGAGTTTGTATGTTAGGCCGTTTGCTGCGTCCCGTTGTCGTTCACTTTCATTAAGTATGTCTTGGAACTGAAATATTTTTACGGGAACTAACACGTTCAAGCACGCAGGATTCAAGTCCGAAAACTTCTCGCGCCGTAGACCCGCAGTTTTCTCACAAATTTCTATTTTATCTTCGATAATTTCACAACGACACGCATCGATGACGACACACGATTAAATCACTCAAAACGACCAATTTCTTTCAAACAGTTTTCTTTTAACAAAAGACCGTTTTGCTCGAATCATTTTGAGTTATATAATCTTATGCGTGTTGGACGTAAACAAAATATCTTGTGTACAACTTTGAGAAGGTACAGATAACGTTTTCTAAAGTCCTCAGTTCTAGCGATATTTCTGTAAAATCACAAGGACGTTAATGCTTTTGGCGATGTTATGCATTGGCCTGAAAATAACTATTTTAACGCGATTATGGTATTTAAAACAAAAGTAATGCGAAGCCAACGTAACGGCAAATACAACACTAAAATGAAATATTGTCGATTGGTTGCTGCTAGAGGGCTTACGACAGGATCAATCTTAAATATTGACCTTAAACTGAAGAATAAATGTTCACATCAAAGACAAAGATCAGTGCCAAGGTATAAAATCTGCTCTGTAAACTTATTACGCAGTGGGGAAATGTGTGCATAAGCTGTTTATTTGGTGATTTCAACGTATATGGCAGCCCTCCTTCCAATAATATTCGCTTATCGCACAGAATAACATGCACCAACTGATATTACCTCTTGAATTACATCTCAGAAACTGTGTTGGAAATGTAAATTCTGACCCTTTCCATATGATTACCGTCTTACATCGTTGTATAAAACATTTTGATCGCATATAAGGAATTATTTCTCGTCCCAGAGATATAGCCCAGCGACATAACATTGACGCCCTTGTGATTTTATAGAGATACAGCCAGAACTGAGGATTTTACAAAGCGATATTGGTACCCTCCCAAAGTTGTAGACAAGATATGTTGTTTACGTCCAAAGCGCTTAAAATTACTTAACTCTCAAAATTATCCAACGAAAACGGTCTTTTGTTCAATATAGAGACTGGTTCATAGGAATTAGTGATTTTGAGTTATTGCAATAGTGTGTCTTCATCCATCTGTGTCGTTGAACAATGAAAAAATTTGTTGTGAAATTAGAGAAGATGAAATAGCAGTTTGTGAGAAAACTGCGGGTCTACGGTGCGGGAAGTTTTCGGTTTTGAACTCAGCGTGTTCGAAAGTGTTAGTTCCCATAAAAATATTTCAGTTCCACACTTCCAAGACATGCTTAATGAAAATTGTTTACTGGGCATTAGTAAACAATATGTTGAGCTGGTTCAAATTTTGAGTAGAGTTCATGAGAGTTTTTGTTGCGCTTGGTATATCCAGTTAACTCTCATCAGTGTTCAGCTGGTTCAAATTTTGATGAAAGTTGATGAGAGTTCTCGCTACGTGCTGTAATATCCAGTCAACTCTCGTGCAATTGTTGTTCTCACTGCAGACTCTCACTGGCCAACTCTTATCAATTCTCATTTTCGTTTGACCAGGGTTTATAATCTTTTGTTTCTAAAGGCAGAACATCAGATCACGAAGAGGTGGAAGTACCATCAAATGCACACAAGACCTTTGGACGCACTGAACTTAATAAACGACCCGATACCGTGAAAACAGGGGCGACAGGCGATGGTGATTATCAGGCATTTTTAAAGGAGGATGGCGTATACGTAATACCGGCTCCAGAGGAATCACAACACAAAACACCAGGTCAAAATGAAACCTATGAAGAGCCCAAATTATCGCCAGAAAATCCTGTTTATACTGAGCTTGATGTGAACAGAGTCCACGGCAGAAATACAACGGGTGACGGTACCTATCAGAAACTAGTAAAGCGAGACTCAGATTATGTTATACCAGCTCATGAGAGAAAAGAGTCGCACGAAGACATCAAAATGGGAAGCAAGTTGCCAACAGGCTACGAGGAGCTGGATCAAAGCAAACTCGAAGCAGAAATCTAATCTTAGGCCAGTCCAAGACTCGCAGAACTTTCAGCCTGTTGTATTGAGTTATTCATTATACAATCTAAGTTTCCCCTTCTGGTTCTGCGGCGCCTGGTTCAGACTTCAGATTTGACTACCGCTACCTCTTGAAATAAAACTGGAACGCTACCTCCCACTAGAAACTTGAAACCAAACTTGAAGGTCAGTCTCAGTCTTTTCATGCATGCGAAGAGCACTGTCAATCCGTCAACATGAATACGTATTTTTAAAAACCGGCTTAAAATTTACAAAAAAAGATTTTTAACAGCGCTGAAAACTTTCTATTAATGCATTTCTTGAGGTAATACTTCCTAGTAGACTTTACTTTTAGTTTTTTTCTTATTGAAACGGCATGCTCGCTGCCTTGAACTGGTCTCGCGAAATATTTGAATTGAATTGAATTTTGAATTGAATTTATTACAAAATCTGAATGGCAGCTAAGAGCTGAATTGTACAGAGTTGACATTTAAAATACACGGTCAAACTAATACATATAGTAATATATGGTATATTAAAACTAAAATTTATATTACAATTAAAATGAATCATTATATGATACGATGCTAGAAGGAATAAAACTTTTACTAAATCTTGTAGTCTTACAATTAATTAAGTTAATATGCTGATCGTTACGTAGATTGTAAGTACGTAAGTCCTCGCGTTTATTAGGGATAAGTTCATTCAATTTATTTTCCGGGTTGAGAAGTTTCTTAAAATAGGATTTACATAAATTATTTTGTCTTTGAGAGAGCAACGATAATTCATGAACTTCCAAGGCTTTGCGGTATGACAGGTCAGGACATATTATTCGTAGGGCTCGCTTCTGAATTCTTTCGATTTCTTCCTTTAAATAGTCAGGGGAGTTTAAGTTCCAAACCTGGCATGCATATTCAAGCACAGGTCGTATACATGTGGTATAGACTTGAATTAGAGAACTCCCTCCACGACCGCTGCGTTTAAGCACTCGGAGAAAAAAAAGTCTCTTTGATGCCTTGTATACTTTGTGTTCAACATGTAAGTTCCAACTAAGATCAGAAGAAAAGTACAGACCAAGAACCTTTGCTGATAAAACTGGGGATATACAGTGATCTTTAATAAACAATGGTCGAAGATTAGGGACGTCCTTAGCGAACGAGATAATTAGCTCTTTGCATTTAGAACGATTAAGCATCATATCATTTTCCGTGCACCATTGATCGATATTATTAATAACGGATTGCAGGTTACCTTGACAACCTTTAACATAAACACGCGGGTCTTCGCATCATCGTATCGTAAAAATTTATTTCAAGACGCTAGCCTCATCAACATAAGTTGGTTTTCATGAGGGGCGTCTTCAATTTACATACAAAGTATTAATATTTACAAGAGAATAAATAGAAACAAAGAAAAAACTATTTACAAAAGTGCATGCTGAATAACAGAGTCAAAGATTAATAATTGACCCACAGACACGCGTGTCCGTGGGTCAGATTTGGTTTTACGAAAAAAATAGGCAGTTTATCTGAAGGTAGTTCCAGTTATATTCATTTCACTGACTGACTCACACTACGCATTTGATTGGTTAATCGGGTAGATTGAACGCATCTGATTGGTTAATGGTAGCGGAAGTCAAATCTGAACCTCAATTACAATCAATAATAGAAAATATTTACAAGAACAGGGTTAGGAATTTTCTAAAAACCATAAGGTTTTTATTTAAAGTTCCTAGGTTATAAATTTAAACTGGTTAATAAAATAAATAAGAGAAAAAAAAGATATAGAGAAATGTATAAATAGCGATAATCGCCGCATTTTCAAAAAAGGCCCTGGGAACCAGGTTGTACGTAAGTTTTAAAAATAAGTTCTGAAGTGGAATAAGATAAGTTTTAAGAAAAAAAATGTAGAACATAGTCATAATTTATTGTCAATATGATTTTATTTGGTTGAATCTAAATGAAGAAAGTACTTTTTTTTTGTTTAATACTTACATAGATCCAAGTGTTGAGTAGTTATAAATAAATTTGTCCAGCTCTAAAACTAACTCTTGACGAAGGGCCTTCGCTCGAAACGTCGAGTTTCTGCTTGTTTTTTAAGGTAGTAATATAACCACTCAGCACAGCATTTTCACATTGATACTACCTACACTGGTACAGACAGTTTTAATACTTTGTAGTAGCAAGTTAACTCAATTTCTGTAGAAATTTAAAATTTGAATAAATTTGTAATACTTAAATACATGAACTCCCCCTTGATTTGTCATTTCAGTTTTTTTGTAAGCCCCCCCCCTCCCGCAGCTACCGTTGCTATGACGACATGCGAGTTTATAAAGCACCTGCGTCTGCACAGCGGTATATCTCATTGTGCATAAAAAATGGCGGCCTTGAAAACGGAAACATGACGTTGTACGCAACTATTAACTATTCTCTGATTGGCTGATCCCCTGGCTGATCACATTTAACTGTCCCGCTTCGGCGTGTTGGCAGTGCGCCACTGATCAATATTGATACAACTTGAAAGAGTTCTCTATCACATAATTTATACGACATTAATACATCAGCGCGAGCCAACTGAGAACCACTGGGGTGTTTTTTATCGGAGTTTTTAATGCTTTAAATGTTTGACCGGCACAGTCAGGTGCGTAGCTAGAGGGGGGTGTGAGGGGTGTAACACACCGCCATTTATCACAGATTCGGCAAATGTCTGCTAGACTAAGCAAATTGGTTTCAGATTTATGGGGAAATTGTTATCGTGGCTCGAAATGAAAAGTAATCGTTATAGCAAAAATGCTACAAAATGTACGAAAAATGACGGAAAAAGTTAAGACAGCACGATATGTCGGGAAAATTTTTTGTATATTAGGAAAAATTATGTAATGTCCGGTAAATTAAATTTTTGTATGTCCGGAAATTAAACAAAACCCTAAGGCACTTTCAAAATTTTCTTGAGCTGAGAAGCGAGAGATAGTATGAGCAGGGACGCCGGAACTGGGGGGGGGGCAGGAGGGGAAGCCGCCCCTGCTGCCCTTTACCAGGAGGGGCAAGGGGGGCAAATGTGCCCTTTCAATATAAAGGATTGCCTTGGCGAAATAGCGAATTGTCAGAACATGTTAGTGCAATTCTTTTACGAATTTGCTTCAGAAAACGCAAGAAATGCAGTCATCGAGCTTCAAGAATAGCACAATCGCCTGGCGGAGAACCCCCTCACACGCCTATCCAATAAATACAAAACATGATTAGGCGAAGTTCAACTCCCGATGCAAACATTTTGCAAACATCTCTTAGTATATATAAATTCAAAAGTGCCCTTTCACGAAATTCTGCATGCCCCCCTTGCCTCCACATCGTTCCGGCGTCCCTGAGTATGAGAGTTGATGAGAGTTGAGAAGTGAGAGTTTGCATGAGATTTTTCTCAACTCTCATGCTCCAGTCAAACTAGAACAAAAGTTGCATGAGAGTTGATGAGGTTGACTCAGGGGTTGACTGGACATTACTGCGCGCTTGAAAAGAGATCGATACACTCTCATGCATTCTCATCAACTTTGTACTGGTTCAAAATTTAATGATAGTTGATGAGAGTTTTCGCTTACTCTCATGCAACTCTTGTTGACAGGGGCATGAGAGTTGAGAAAACTCTCATCCAAACTCTCGCTTCTCAACTCTCGTCAACTCTTATGCAACTCTTGTTCTCGTTTGACTTGGCGCATGAGAGTTGAAAAAACTCTCATGCAAACTCTCGCTTCTCAACTCTCATCAACTCTCATGCAACTCTTGTTCTCGTTTGACTGGCGCATGAGAATTGAGAAAACTCTTATGCAAACTCTCGCTTCTCAACTCTCATCAACTCTCATGCAACTCTTGTTTTCGTTTGACTGGCGCATGAGAGTTGAAAAATTCTCATGCAAACTCTCGCTTCTCAACTCTCATCAACTCCCATTCTCGTTTGGACGGGCCGTTAAATCGACGTCAATGCAAATTTCAAGTCAACTTGACAATTCTATAGGAAGTATTTTAAAGTAAGGTGGCTCCCTACAGTTGCGTGCGGGATGTTCGCGGGACCAGTACGTGAACTATCCCACGCAACCGCATGATTAAAACAAAACAAAAATTGACCACGCTTTTTTTTAACTTTTTTTTAAAAAAAAAGCTATTTCCGAAAGGTTTCTAATGGAAAAAAAGCGTTGAATAATACTACGTTTTGTGTGCCAAATTCGGTACATTCATGAGTTAAATTGGAAGGATTTATGCTGTCGTCATGTTGCCATGGGGACATTGACGTTGTCGAAAACTAGTTCGAAATATTCCTTAGCGTGACCAATATTGCCACCAAGTCGAAAAGAATTCGCGTTCTGCACGAATAAGCCTGTTTTAAGGAATTATTTGCTTAAACAAGAATAACTGTAGGGAGCCACCTTAAGCCTGACTGAGTAACGTTTTCAACTTCCTTTCTCGGGAGAAATCGAGCTCAACAGCAGAGGCGGTTCGCAGAAACTCTACCGTCAAAATCCATCGAATACGAAAGCAAATACAGCATAGGCACGTGGCTGCGTTATGAAAAGACCGGTATAACTTCCTGCGGAAGTTTGGGAAGAAACAGAATGCTGTACCAGTATGTGTTGTTTTCCAACTGTGTAGAGACGAGGTTTTCAGAAGCACCGTTGTATATTATTTGAACTATATAGTTGAATTGGATGCTGTTTTGTGTGCACGTCGAGTTCCGATAGTGGTTCTGTTAATGTGCACCATCTTACAGTAAACATGCAGGTAATTAAGATATTTCCGATTAAATAACTAGTAAGGCCTAGTTTATACGTCGAATTTCAGTCGAATTTAATTCGTCGAATTTAATGTGACAATTATGCGACGGAAATTCGACCGAAGTGTTGCGTGCAGTTTAGACGTCGAATTTTGGTCGGAAAATCAAATCAGGCTTTAAGATGGACAGATGAAGGCCTATAAAATAAATGTGGTCGCGTTCACCAAAGCAATTATCTTGAAACAAATCCTGAAAATTAGAAGAGAAAGGCGTCAGAAGCAATTGTAAATTTTGTACTTGGCAATTAAATAGAAAAAAGAAGATTCTTCGGCTATGCTTGGCACTGCTTTCCAATTAGTATGAAGCGAAAATGCCCCGAATATTAATTTCGTTCATGTCGTCGATTTGAAAAATCAGTGCAGGGGGGTAGTGGCCGTCAATAGTGGCCGTCAATAGTGGCCCTCATTAGTGGCCCTCATTAGTGGCCCTCATTAGTGGCCCTCATTAGTGGATGTCAATAGTGGCCGTCATTAGTGGCTGCCATTAGTGGCCGTCATTAGAAGCCGTCATTAGTGGCCCTCATTAGTGGCCCTCATTAGTGCCCATCAATAGTGGCCCGCAATAGTGGCCCTCATTAGTGGTCCTCATTAGTGGACCATTAGTGGCCCTCATTAGTGGCCCTCATTAGTGGCCCTCATTAGTGGCCCTCATTAGTGGCCCTCATTAGTGCCGTCAATAGTGGCCCTCATTAGTGGCCTTCAGTGGCCCTCATTAGTGGCCTTCAAAGTGGCCCTCATTACTATCCTGAAGACTGCTACCCAAGAGACGACTGGGGAAGACACAGGAACTTCCAGTATTTGCTCGCAGCATTTCACTTACAATTTGTAATTCTGGTTTTTAACTGTAATACAGTGCAATACGGCTATCAAGTATCAACCGGGCCTGTCTGTAGTATACGGGACCGGCTAAACGGAGAGTTATAAAGTGGAGAGTTATCTCGGAGAGTTATGATTTCAGAGAATTATGTTCGAATCACGCCCAAACCACGCCCACTTTTCCCAACGACCACACCCATTTTCTTAACTCTCCCGATGTTTCCTTGAACTAACATGAGAGAGTTATGTTTGACGTAACTCTCTCTCGTTAACATTATGAAGGTGTTAGAACTGTTGTGTTTCAAAACTCACCGCGTTCACGATTGTGGCAATGCCAATGAAGAGAGTTATATGTCCGTCAATTTTTTGAAAAAAACTTCCACATTTTAGTAAATTATTGTGAATTTACTTTTTTCTCAAGTTTCAGCTTTAACATTTCACGCTAGTAGAAACTTGTAGTAATTTAGTACTTACCAAGTGAAACGAGTACGAGTAAATAAATTATTACATGCTCACTTGGATTATCTATAAAGCCGGACATTCAGATACAGCTCTCCTATTAGAAGGAACCAGAAAACCTTTCAAATGTAATGCCCTATTGGCTGATCTGGGAAAGTATTTCCAAAACCTGAATTGCTGAAAGATTCAATTTTCTTAATTTTTTCAATATTTTCTTGCAACTATGCTTATCGTATTTACTCTCTCTCATTTTAACTCTCTCATGTTAGTTCTATGGTTAGTTCAAGGAAACGTCGGGAGAGTTAAGAAATTGGGTGTGGTCATTGGGGAAAATGGGTGTGGTTCGAACATAACCCTCCGAAATCATAACTCTCCGAGATAACTCTCCGGTTGGTAACTCTCCCTTTAGTCATACCCGTAGTATACTATAGTATACTACAAAACATCACGACTACCAGCCGCGGTTATTTAACTGTAATACAATACTACAATGCAATACGACTGTCAGCCGAGCCTGTCGGTAGTATACCATAGTATACTACAATACATCACGGCTACCAGCCGAGGTTATTTTTAACTGTAAGCCGGGCCTGTCTGTACTACTATAGTATACTACAAAACATCACGGCTACCAGAGTTATTTAATTTACCTGTAATACAACACTACAATGCAATACGACTGTCAGCCGAGCTTGTCGGTGGTAGTATACAGTTGTATACTACAAAACATTACGGCTACCAGCCGGCAATACGGCTCTCAGCGTGCACGCTGAGAGTCTTGAGTTCAATCCCGGAGTGAGCGCAAACGAATTTGAATTTTTCTCTTTGCCGTAATTGGTTTTTTTTTCGTTTATGTACCTATCGCATAGCTAGCTATATGCATTGGGAAGATGAATTTAGATGCATTTCGATTATTTTCGGAAAATTTAATGTAATTCTGGTGTTTTTTTGCTTATGAAAACATTCTAGAACCAGTCTCCGAAATGCGCGCATTTTTTGAACGAATAGTATGCTATAGTACAGCCCGGCTGGCAGCCGAGCAATCGGAGACAACATTTCCGGCTG